TGTGTGTGTGTGTGTGTGTGTGTGTGTGTGTGTGTGTGTGTGTGTGTGTATTCTTGCTTGTATGTGTATTCTTGCTTGTGTGTGTGTGTGTGTGTGTGTGTGTGTGTGTGTGTGAGTGCCAGTGCCCCAATGTTAAATTGGTGTCACTCCGTTCTGCCGTGTCTTGGCTCTGGAATAGCTTCAGAGAGAGCAGATGTGTGTGTTTAGCCTCTGATGTACGGAGCTGCAGCCCCTCGCATGCACTCAAGGGCCACCGGGGTCATTATGTCGACTGTGTGTCGCTGTTTCCCAGCATGCAGCTGGCGTAGACAATCACAACAAAGCAGACATTTAGTGCGACTTTACAGAGCAGGCCATTGCACGTTGTGCGAGTTGTGTGTTGTGCGAGCGAGGGCACAGATGAAGTGATCAAGTCGACAGCTTGCCGAGCTGTGATTGTCACTGATCCCCCCCCCCCCTGTCCTCAGGAAAAACAGTGCCATCTGCCACGGGCAATGCCAGCTTGGCACTCTCCCCTCCCAGGCTAAACTAGAGATGGCAGGGGAGCTAGGAACAGCTTAATATCGGATACAAGGTCTCCGTGTGAGAGTGTCTGTGTGAACGCTTGGGGGGGTAGCATGCAGGTTCTTTTTCTGCTTCCCTCAAGTTTTGAATCTAAAAGCGTAGAAGTGAATTCTTCTGTTGTATTTTGTCTTTTGATAGCTGTTGTTCACCTGAAACTCACTCTTAAAGTTCACTCAGTCGTGCTGATTGACGGGGCTCAGCGTGTTGACATGCAGCTGCACCAGAAACAGCAGGCTGCAGATTCTACAGATTACTTTAGTTCTGATAGGAAGTCAGTTCAAATCGCCTCGATATCGGTGTAGAAAAAAAAACCATATTGTCGATCCTCCCTTAAATCAGCATGAGCCTACTTTACATGGCCCCAAAGAGAAGCAAACAGTCACGACAATGAAATATTAAAAGCATCAAATCTGATATCCCTATTTATTTATTTTTAAGCAGTATTCTAGTATTGGGGCCACTGTTGGAGAAAAAAACTCTCATTTCATGAATGAAATCAACATATTGAGAAGAAAGTTGTATGTTATTTGCATAAATTCTAGAAAAACAAAGTAATAATATCACAAGAATAAAGTTTAAACCTTTCAACGTGTCTGTGTGGTGTATTAAACATTCTCTGTCATGCCTCCCTTCAGGTCCTCCAACACCACCATGCGGTCCACGAGATCTCCTACATCGCCAAGGACATCACGGACCACCGAGCCTTCGGCTACGTCTGCGGGAAGGAAGGGAACCACCGCTTCGTGGCGATCAAGACCGCCCAGTCGGTCAGTGTCTCGTGTGTCCATGTTGTACCGTGCGCCCGCTGCGTGTAGGTTAATGTTTGATTCATCGGGGTCTTCTCTCAATTGTAGACGAGGACTCTTGAACACCAGCTCATCAAACAAACAGTTTACTCTGGTGCCCTTGGTTGTGTGTGTGTGTGTGTGTGGTGATGATTTCAGGTTGCAGCTACACCCTCTTCTTGATACTGAGTACCTCTCTTGGACCTGGTATGAGTGTTGTGGTGTTGTTGTGTCTACGTGCCTGGCTTGTTTCGTCTGGATCCAGCTGGCTCGCTCTGGAGCCATATTGATTTCCCGTATGAGTCGATGAGGGTTTGAGTGTGTGTCACCAGCTCTAATGGCATATCCATCCTCCCAGGGCCGTGGACCGTGGCTCTTTGACCTCGACAGATACACACAGTGTCACACACACACACACACACACACACACACACACACACACACGGGGCTGTACTCAACATTTACACCAACCAGACTCAAAAAAACAAAAAGGTGTTGCTTACCAAATGCTACCCTGGCGAACGGCGTAGCGCGAGCTCTCATCGGTCACCTCGGCTGTCATGTACCTGGCGAGCGCCCGAGGAAAGGTCAGCACTCTATTTCACTCACGTTTTTCTGGCATTTGAACCCGCCGTCACTCGCTCTCACACCGCCGGTCGTGGAGCCGACAACGAGAGGAGGCGCGGAGCTTATGGCCGAGGCTGTAATTGGGAAGTAGCCGCTTTGATGTGAATTAACAAAGCGTCTCTGTCGTCACGAAGACGGAGGATTTCACGAAAAAGGCCAATTTAGGAGTGCATTGAAAAGTAATTGGCTTAACGCTCGGCTCAAAGTCTCAGCACGAGAAGGACGTGTTTTATTCTAGCGGAGATGGAAGCACATTAATTGTGTCAGAAAGGCTTTCGGAGACTCTGTTAGCTCATCACAGTCTTTGTTGTAACTTTTTTAGAGAAGTTACTGTTGTAATTGGGGCTGGGCGATATGGAGAAAATCACATATTACAATATTTTTGACCAAATAGCTCATTATGGATATTGCTACGATATTGTCGGGTTCAACAAAGGTTCTTTTACAAAATATTTACACCATAAGATTTTGATAAATAACCGTCAGTAATGTTGATATAACGACTTAGTGAGTGAAGGCAAATAATAAATAAAAACTATACCGTCTGGTGAGTTAAAGAAATGACATCACTTTACTGTAATGCAGCCTTTCTGGTGGCAGTGTTTCCAGCTTAGTTTAGTGACAAAACATTTTCAAACTATCCAAAATGTCAGCGGTGTCAATCAAAGGTGTCTGAGCCCAGAGTCACTGAGCAAAATGCTTTTCATTTTTATTTCTATAGCCCAACGTCAGAAATCACAGATTTGCCTCAGAGGGCTTTACAATCTGTACCACACACCACGTCCTCTGTCCTCTGTCCTCGGACCTGGGAAGGAAAAGCTCCCCAAAAAAAAGATTTAATGGGGCAAAAAACAACCTTTGATTTGTGTCTAAATCCTGTTTTTGTACCAAGAAATACATTCTTAATAAGTTCAGCGGCAGGAGATCCTGGAGAAAGAAACCAACAGCAGGATTTCATTTGGGTGAATCTGTTTTTAATATTCAGGCGGATCTCAACCAAAACTCCCGATCAGTGCAGATTTTTAATAGAACCGTGTATCTGCAGTAAAAGTCTTCATCTCTACTTTTTTTTGTTAGAATCACTCGCCGCTGTTGCCGCAGGCGATGAATCACTCATCTGATTCAGGAGTGCTGCACTGAGGTTATCTCATCTCCACGGTCCATTATGGACGCTCCTCCTCCAGCCACCTCACAGCTCTCTGCATTCTCCCCAAAATTCACCTTCCGCTCGTCTCGGCTTCTCCTACCAGGAAGTTTTGACGGAGAAGAGGCGGAAAAAAAGGAACTCGAAACAGATGGCGAGGAAAAATAAAGAGCATGTGTCGTCAAATGCAAAGAGGATCTGAATCTGACAGAGTGACAATATGTGTCAGTGTCGGCTCAGCGGGAGCCACCGTTTACCCCCAGAGTGTCTGTCGTGAACTTCTCGCAGGAAGAAAACTAAAATAGAACCGTCTCATCCGAGGCAGCCGTCAGTCTGGTGACTCCGGCTGCACTCCGCATCGCCCCAGTCAATAATTGATTAGGTCTGAAACACCGTCGTACTGCAGGACTCTTTGCAGTGACAGTAGTTCTAAGATGTGAGTAGTCTTAACTCGTTTATCGTCTGCTCCCCTGACAAGAGAAGAGACTAAGAGACGGTATCTGCTGTTGTCAGTGTGTGAACAAGGCCGAGAGGAGTACGATATGTAGCGATGCCTTAATCTGGTTTCCAGATAACAAACAAATCAGGGTCCACATGAAGATGTTAATGTAGATTAATCAAGCTCTGGCAATAAGAACTACTGCAATATTTATCTCCCAGGAGTATTAGTGTATTAGTGCAAGTGTTGTGGAGATGTCCGGGCCTGTTCATCATATTCTACAGATTTAAGAAAACATCTTTGTTTGGGTTCAGATCGCTGCAAAAAATAAAAATGAAAAATTATGTAAAAATAATCATTCCCTCTAAAATTGCAAATCATATCGCAAATGCAAATTACTCAGTTAATAATAATAATAATAATAATAATAATACATTTTATTTGTGTAGGTACTCAGGTGCTCAGAGACACTTTACATGGTCAAAACAGAAACAATAGAAGTAATTACAATAAGAAGAAAATAGATGACATCATAACAGTAAGGAACAACACGGAAATGAAAAAGATACATAACTGACATTACCGGTTAAAGGCAGATTTAAATAGATGAGTTTTAAGTCATTAGATATATCTTCTTGATGTGATGTAAATGTGAATAAGCTTCTGGCTAACTCTGGGGCAGCTATAGACGCGCTGCTCCGTCCCCGTCAAACACGTAAATACATAAATCACAGGCAGCTCTACTGATTTAGAGATTCATAGTCTGGAACTTCAACCTTCTGGTTTTAGTCGCTTTCACTTCTTGCAAGAATTTGTCAGCGTTTAACTAATCAGCAAACAATCAGTCACTGAAGACACTGTTGCCTTTAATGAAAAGATTTTAGACAAACTAATTGCAGAAGTGGCAAAATGATCCGATCCAGTTTGCTGCCATTTTTCGTGCTCGTGGACTAATGGACTCATCCATAATCGGCTGTCAGCAAACCAATCAGGTATCTATGACTCATCCTGCCTCAGCCGACCTCAAGAAGCACTGAATTAGAAAAAAAGCTTAATGGCCTGATCTGTTGGGGCACATTGCCACAGATGGGAAGATGCGATATGATCAACTTTGAGTAATAGTTGGAGCAGATTGAAAGGCAAAGACACTAAAATGCTGCACAGCATTTTACAACTCTGAGAAACGATCATGGCGACGATAACTTTGTCCGTCGTCTTGACAATTTCAAGGCAAAAAGAAGATATAAACCACTCGCATTACAAAGTCAATGACCAGACATGTGCACGTCTTTGCGTGTGAAACACCAACGCAGAAGTTGAGCCGGTCTAAACTTTGTCGGGAACGCTGAGAAAATAATGTTTTTAGTTGCAATGTTGGTCTGAGCATGACCTCAATCTCCTGTCATGAGCAGGTGCAGGTTCAGTCGCCATTTAACTAGAATAAGAAGGCATGGTTGCAGTTCTGATCAGTGCTTAGGAGTGTGTGTGTGTGTGTGTGTGTGTGTGTGTGTGTGTGTGTGTGTGTGAGATTGTGTCCGTGGGTGTATAACGTGTCCTTATCTTCCCAGGCTGAGCCTGTGATCCTGGACCTGCGGGACTTGTTCCAGCTCATCTATGAGATAAAGCAGCGAGAGGAGATGGAGAAGAAGGCCCAGAAGGACAAGCAGTGTGAGCAGGCGGTCTACCAGGTACGCTAACCGACGCACGGTTTGACCTTTTCTTTTAAAGCCAGTGACGGCCGTGGTTGTCCGTCCGTCTGTCCGCCCCATTCTCGCGAACGTGATATCACTGGAGGGAATTTCTTCCGATTTGGCCCAAACGTCCACACGGACCCGAGGTTTGAACTGATTATAATGGGGGTCAAAGGTCATTGTGACCTCACAAAACAAAACTCGTACCCATTACTCAAGAATACATATTCTAATTATGTCAATTTCACACAAATGTCTTAAGAGGATAAAATGGCGTCAGTGCTCCGTACTGCGAACAAAATGGCTTTGTGCATTCATCCAAGTGCTCGATGAGCGGTGACATCAGCCACGGTGTATTCCATCCCCACATCCAAACATTTGAAAGTCATCTTGAGGATCGACCATCGACCCGTGAATCTTCCCTACGCTGTCGTCACAGCCCAATGCACGCGGGACGCCATTTGTGCACATGGAGCAGATATGCTCCCTCCAGAGGACACTCGTGTCTTATCACCGTTCCCATGTTTCACGAGTGAAGCCGTCTTTAGCTGATTATTTTATGAAGCAAAATGAGGAGAGAGGGGGAGGAGGCTCCTGGAGAGATGACGAGACCTCTCGACTCAGACGCCCACAGAAAGTTGGTCAACCAGTGGAAACGTTAGTCCTGAGCCCTGGATGAAGTGAGGACTGCTAACTCGACTGCTTATAGTTATTTAACCTTATTTGAATCATCTGCCATGAGTATGACGAGCTTCATCTGAGAGACTCTTGACTGACAAGTTAACTAAGACTTGAAAAAGACAAACATCAAAGCAAGTGAGTTACATGCAGAGCAGCAGCTTTCAGGTTTCATCAGTGGCACCATCTGCCCGCTCACCGTCCTCTGTTCTGTCCTCTCTGCATCACCTGTTTCATTTCTCTTTATCTCCGTGTCTGTCTCTCTCTCCCTCTGATTATTGCCAAATGATTTTCTTTCTGGATGCTGGGAAGCTGCCACGTCTTGCTGCGCTTTCCACCTCCTCTCTCTGCTCCACCGGCTTAACTTCCTCCCCCTCTTCTGTCTCCTCTCTCCCTCCTCCCTGTGTGATCTCTCTCCCTCTATACCGCCTGCCCGCCGCTCTTCTGCAGACAATACTGGAGGAGGATCTGGAGGACCCGGTCTACCAGGTAACTTCCTAACCCAATCAGCATTGCATTCTAGTCGGCTTGCTCCTCCTCTCTGTGTGTGCACTGTTGGGGAGACGTCTGGTTACAGTGTGCGGTACAGATGTTTGTGTGATGTCGACAACAGTAGGAGACGCCCTCCGATGTGTGCGGTCGTGGGTGTTGTGTGTCTGCGTGCATGTCTGCCAGTCGAAAGATGTATTATACTTTTCTGCTTCGGGAATCTTTGCTGCTTAAATTCTCCTCCTTGTGTCACCCGGATCTATTCTTCTTCTGCTTTTTATTTTTTTAGAAATAATATTGACGATGCTGTTTGACTAATCACCTCTCCAATTTCACCACTTTTCTCTCAACTTCCTTTATCTTCCAATTTTCTCTCCCGCTTCTTCTTCTTCTTCTTCTCCCCTCCTCCCTCCGCTGCTGACGTTGTAGTACATTGTGTTTGAGGCGGGACACGAGCCCATCCGCGACCAATCAGAAGAGAGCATTTATCAGGTACTCACAAGCTCGTCTTGTCTGCTTGAGGTTCTTTTTTTATCACGTCATCTTGTACTCAGCTGTGGTCAAGCCACCACCAATAACAACAAGGAGCTCTTTAAAGTGTTCAAACAAAAGGAGATTTCAGAAAATACAATTTTGTACTCTTTCACAATAAAAGGTCGTGCCTGATCTATATTTCCCACACATGCTCTCAAAGAGACAAATGTAGTGGAACATTTGTATTTTTCAAACTTAGTTACAACGCTGCAGGTCTTGCTCTATCTCTCTCTCTCACACATCCAATTTACTTAACAACTGAACACTTACAAATCAAAGTTTTACCAGATTATGGGTCAAGAAATGTGGTAAACACGCGTCTCTTCACTCGTTTTCTAGGTGTCGTCTGTTCTGACTCGTAGCTCTGCCTGGTGGCTGGAAGTGCCTCTCGCTCTGGAGAGCATTTATGCTTTTGTTTGTTTACAGTTTCTTAGTGAACTTCACATTAGCTGTGCACAACAAAATAAGCCTCGATAAGAAAAAGGAAAGTCCTCCGTTTTTGCGTGCGTCGCCCTCCTCAAAGCTGCAAACAGTGACTTCAAACATCCGGTCCGAAGGGCCGATAACGCCGCTGGACACGCTGCTCGCTAATCGCTCCAATTTGCTTTGCTTGTTGGCAGTAGTAGAATTATAAAATGCAGAATTTAGTAAAGACAAAAATGCTAGTAAAGACAACAAGGTCACTAAGCGTGAACGTAGCAAAGGAAAGGCTTTTCAAAACGGAAACGTAGTAGTGTGGATGTAGCCTTGATCTTCCATTTGCTTGCCACCAGCTACATCACTACATATATATATTGTGCTCATAAAATTAAATGCTGCCTTTTTTCACTCATAAAATGTACATACAGGAAATAAAAGACTAAGAACAGAGGTGAACAACGCTCTCCAGAGGGCCCCGACAGCTAAAGCTGGCTGCCCCAGAGAGAGGAGCCGTTCTTTGGGTGCTCTTCTCAGAGGACGTGGGTGGACCTCCGAGGGATGAAGAGGGGGAGGGTTCGGTGCCGCGTGGAGGTTATTCCTGGTTACCCCTCCTCTTTTGTCTCTCCTCCCCTCCCTCTTTTCCCGAGGAGATGAAAGAAAGGCAGGCGATCGGGGGGGGGGGGGGGGTGAGAAAGATTAATCACCAGCCTCTCGTTTGATCTTTAAATATAATGGATTGAAAATAGACAGGGAGTGCTGGCGCGTGAACTAACACACACACACACACACAAACAAACAAAGCGCACACACACGTCAGGCGTAAGAAGCGTGAGCCTCAGCCAGCCTGCAGCCACAGAGGAACTAATGTATGAATAAAGATGGCAGCTTCTGGAAATAAACATGTGAAAGCAGGAGAAAGGCTGGTGCTGGATTGATGCCCACACTCTTTATCAGTGCTGGCTTTCATTGTGTGATTGCTGCACATCTACCTGGGGAAGATGAAAACTTTATTTTAAACACCGTGTCACTGTAGGAGAAACAAAGACCCAGGATTCAAACATACCCGTGCCCTTTGAGTCTTCTCATTGCACACACGCTGTCAAATGTATCCGCCTGTGTGACACGGAGATATTACATGTCTCCATGTGTGTGACAATCTGAGTTATTACATGTCTGTGGCTGTGATAAGCAGCCTTATCCATTCTTTATTAGAGAGAGAGAGAGAGACAGAGAGGCCGTCACCGCAGGCCGATAGTCGACTGATTAGCCTCGTAGATGAGTTCTCGCTCTGCAGATTTTAATTCTGATTATCCACACACACACACACACACACACACTGCTAGTGATTGATTTGACTCCGGAGGAGCCAGGTTTCAGGGTTTTTGTCCCAGCATGTGACGTGTGATGTGCGAAGTTTCACTGTGTGATTAAACCAGAGGTAACGGGCTCTCTTGGCCGACTGTGTAGGTTCCCACCAGTCAGCAGAAGGAAGGGGTCTATGACGTCCCAAAGCGACACCCAGTGAGTGACCCGTGTGTTTGCTCCACGTCCCCCCCCCTCTCTCTCTTCCGGTGCATCGTGAAGCTCTGATTTTGCAGTGACTCTTCATGTCGTTAATGTTTCCCCTGAGAGGTTTTGCTGGGACCCAGTGCTCTTGTGCTGCTGTTCTGCTTGTGCTGTAGCTGTGGTGGCTGGTGCCCTTCTCCCCGTGCTCCGTGGTGCCTGCTCCCGTATGGTTATAACCCGGGGACGCTGTGTGTGTGTGTGTGTGTGTGTGTGAATGCATGCCTGGCTTGGTGTTTTTTTTTGCCCGGTGGTGAATCCAGCAGCAAAACCTGCATGACCTTCTGCCTGATTGTGCCCAACACGTTCTGCCTCCGTCATCTTTCCCTGTAACGGACACGGATTATGTGTCTGATTTTAAAATGTGCATGGCTTCATATTCTTCAATCTATACATCAGGATGGTCATGCATTTAAGCAGTGTTTGCAGTATACATCTATATCGCTGTTTGTGCAGGTGTGTGCGGTACTCGTGTGTGTGTGTGTGTGTGTGTGTTTGTGTGTGTGTGTGTGTGTGTATGTGTGTGTGAGTGAGGGAGCTCCCCTCACACTGCCACTGGTTATAATGAAAGATGACCTTGACCAGGCTGCACGATAACTCAGCTGCTCTTTTATCTGCCTATAAAGATGCTTCTTATATTGTTGCCTGATTTAATCTGCTAAAATCTTCACACTCCCCATAACCAGGCTTGTGTGTGTGTGTGTGTGTGCGTGCGTGCGTGCGTGCGAACACTTCATCCCATGTTGCTGGTCTGTAGATCAGTATTCCCTCAGCCCATCCAGAGCCCACCGGCTCCATTATTAATCCTTAAACCTGCTAAAACTGGCAGTCGCAATCCCACTCCATGATTTTCTTTTTTTGGTGGAGTTGGAATCAGTCTGGCAGTTTTCTGGCTGCATATTATCCCCGGCTTTGGTAAGAAGCTTACAGGCACCGTAGTATTTCTGTTCCCTCCTCACCCGGCCCACAACACATGCTGCTATTTGGATTGCCTTTGTGTTGGCGGGTGTCTGAACGTGAGCAAATCCAATATTTCTCTCTTGTTGTGCAACCAATTGGACGAGTCGTCCATTCTGGTTTGAACGAAGCGAATTGGAGTCTCTCAGAGGGAGTAACTACAACCCAGGATCATAGAAATGCGAATGGATCACAAATTTAAGAATGCGTTGTGTGGCTTGTGTTGTGATTTGAAGATACTGTAATTTGGTTGTAAGGTGAATATTCAGACTCACAGAGGGAAGAAAGAAGACTGCTGCTGTGCTTCTCTCTCTACGGGTTGAGTCTTTCAAGCATGTGGCACCACAGTAAGTGATGTCACAGCACGTCTCTCATATCAGAAGCCAAAATTCACATCATATTGTATATGAGCAGCCTCGAGGAGACATTTCTGAGAGCTACAATATCAAACATTTAGTGGAAAGAACTGCAGAAGTGTCACAAAGGATGCTAACATGGCAGCGAAGCCGCTGTAAGATGTGATTGAAATACATTAACACCAACACAAGGTAATTGCAAAGGAGCTATACAGCCTCCAAAAGGAGTTCGTTTAACTTATTACCAAATGAAAATAACATTATTATATTATTGTTCATATGGAGACTGCAGGGCTTGCACTTTTGCATTTTTTTTGTAGCATTTAGTGAAGCGTATCTGCATAGAAAGAAAGATAACCCAATGTATACGTGTTTGGATCGTATTAATCTTATTGACTTGATTGATTGATCACAGTAGTCTGTATCACTACAGGCAGACTCCCCTCACTTTATAAAGTCGGCAGGGAATTACAATCAGTTAATCAACGACGAACACTGTTGTTTCCTCCCATGGAGCCGACATGTACAGTATGTTACTGCAGCAGATGTCTGCTGTCAGTCCGTCTGGAGAAGGCGGTTAGCGAGCTGCTGACGGACGAGCGGAGACATTTACGGATTTGACGGCAGAACGCTGTTTTCTACTTCTTCTTATTCAGCAGACACGGCGTGAACGCAGCGGTAGAAGCTGTTGTGACTTCACTGAGACGGGATTGACCAGAGGCAGCAGCATTTATCTGACCGTTGTTTATGGTGGACTTGATGTTCATCTTATTGGCAGCAGAGGTGCGTTGTATTCTCAGGAGAAGGATTAACAGTGCTACTCTACGTCTGGGAGGAAATGATGGCGCTGGCTGCAGAAACACGACCTCCGTCGTTTACTCTGTCACCTTCTTAAACGATGACAAATCAATAAAACACACACACGAGACCGTTTCAATCCACTGAGACTCTGACCCCCTAAGAACTGAGAGAGTGTTGAATCAACAGAAGCCCACATGTGGAGGTCAGCAGCATGTTACCTCAACACATCAACTGTCCAAACATTAGGTTAGTATGATACATGATATTTATTGGCCGAGCTTCCTGGTTTAAATAAAGGTTGCATTAAAATGGGCTGAGTTGAACCAACAAAGACTCATTTATAAACCCGATTATATCTGGTTTTAACTTTAAATCATGTTGCGCCAAACTTTAAACAAGTTACAGTTAACAACATTTAAACCTCTCATTAAACATCAGTTTAGTTTTTGCTCTAAAATTAAATTAAATTCTGTTGAACCAAAACCTTAAACTCCAATCTATACCGTGATCCATTATTAACTTTAAACTTACACTTCAGGAGGTTTAACTTTTTTAAATTGCTGCCTTTTTTAGATGGATTTAGCAAAATACTGGAGTTCCTGGAGAAAAGTAAACGGACAAACTCAACTCTGATTGATTTTTATGATGCTGCTGAATTTCTCTGAAGTGTCCTTTATTTGCTTCATGACCATGTGTGAAAGAGTGACCGAGAAAATGATTCAAAGGTCGTGAAAAACGTCCACAGCCTGGTTGTGATTTGTTCCGAGTAGTGAGTCTGTGTGTTTGTGTGTGTGTGCGTGTGCGTGTTTGCATGTGTCAGTTCGGCAGTGTTGTCGACCGCGTGCCAGTTCGATCAGTCAGACGGCGGGGGGTCAGCGAGGTGGCGTTAATTAAAGGGGCTGCGATAATTGTATGCAGAACACATGTGCACAGGTAATTACGGTTTCCCCCGAGACGGCTAATTGGTAGGTGGCGGCCGTACTGATAAAGATAACGGGCTGGGCGAAGAGATGGAGAGGGTGTATAATGGGCACAGAGGGATAATTAGCAGGGCAATGGCCGGCGAGAGAGTGGAGAAAGAGAAGCAGAGGAATGAGCAGCAGACTGGAGCTCTAAGCAAAGAATAACAGGAGATTTGTTTCAAACAAACTGTCAGATGCATTTAAACGTCCCAAAAGGATTGCCTTCATTTCATGAGTTGGGTTTTAAAGGAACCATGATGAGTTCGGGGGTTGAAAAATGGACAATATTTCCAGAACTGATTAGTATTTGGGCAAGCTGTTCCCGTTCTTCAGCCTCAGCTAATGACGACCATACTTCATGCTTTCATCCAAAGAAAAGAAAACACTCAGCAATATTGTACGTCGTGCACCAACTGCTCTCGCTTTGCCAGACCAATCTGCACGTTGTGTGTCGGTGCCAGGCATCATCATTCAGGGTGCAAAATACATGCAGATACCACCAGTATGGCTCTTATATGTGTTTTAGCAGAGGATTAAGCTGTTGCCTGCACAGACGCAGTTGGAGTTGGCTTTGTTTTAATGGGATTTGTTTCAGATTATTAAGACTTTTAGATTGTAATTCACTTCAACGGAGAGCAAACTCTGCAGGAAGGAAGCAGGTTTTTTCCATCTATAATGTAACATCCTCCCTTCAGTTTGCTCTCTCATAACAGCATGTTAGTTAATCCAGGTGCTCTTGCCGTGCCTGTCTGTCTCACACTGTGGTTGCTGACACCGGGGAGTAGCTTTACAGAAACACAAAAGGGGCTTTAAAGCCCAGCTCAGCGCTGTAGTGTAGACTAAAGGTAGGGATGATCTTTAAACCTGTTCAAATCTTCACTTGGGCTCGAAGTCTGGCAAGGGGAGCGTTGTTCTGTGCTCTGAATGTGTGTGTGTGTGTGTTTCCTGACACCTGCAGACCATCATCCTCCCCCCCCTCATTTCACCTCTCTCCCCTCTGTCTCACCCTCTCTCTCAGTGTACAAAAAACAACTAATATGTTTGTGTGTGAGCACATTTTCATCCCACCTGCCATCTAACACTGGGGTTGTGATTGCAGAACGGACATCAAAGCCCCCCCCACCACCACCATCATCATCCTCATCATTCTCACGATCAGCCCCTCCAACAAGAACAGCAGCAGCCGGCAGTGGCAGATCTGATAGACTTAGGCCTGGAAATGGTGACTCAGGTAAGGAGCTCGTGTCTTCTTTGACCCGGTTTGATATATAAGACCAAACACCGGACCGGTATACCGAGTTTTACAACTAAGTGTTGCACTGGACTCGGCAGCTGCGCCCAAGAGGGACATAATGACACTGAAAGAGAAAGGCCGTGAATAAGAGTGTAGCAACTAGCGGTAATGCACCTCTAAGCTGGTTTGCCAACCGCCAATAAACACTACAGAAGAAGAAGATGGAGGGAAGCGGCACCATGTTACACGCATAGACTGTGTATATAAGAAGCGGACGTCACCCATTGATTTGTTTGATGCGGTTTTGAAGCCTCAAATTCAGCGTTTTGGCTGTCGCCATCTTGGCTTTTTGCAACCAGTGAACAAAAGTTACTATATTTAGACTGAGGAAGAGTGACGTAGAGACGCCATATGGTAGCAACAGCGACCTGTCAATCACAGTAAGCCCCGCCCTAAAGCATCCCCTGCTTTATGGTCTGTTAGACTCTAAATGGACCATAATGTACTAAATGAACATCATGCTGTATTGAAGAAGACTTGAAACTAGAGATTGAGACCATAAACTCATGTTTACAATGTTTACTGAGGTAATAAATCAAGAGAGAAGTAGAGTCATTTTCTCATAGACTTCTATACAACCAGAGGAGTCGCCCCCTGGTGGACACTAGAGAGAATGCAGGTCAGCAACGTCATCGGCTCAGGTTGATGACGTAGGCAAAGTTTTAATTTGCTAGAATGTGTCATAATAACAAATGCCGGTTCAGCAGGTTTGCATTAAATCAAAGTGGTTCAAACTTGATCAAAACAGAAATCAACCCAACTCTAGTTGTGATAAAAGCCAAGAAGAGTCCTCAGTTATTTGTGAGCAACATACTGTTACCCATCAGCCCCGATGACCAGCTTCTTCAGGCATATCCTCCGATGATTTACTCTCCCTCGCCTTCGTCTTTACCGCACCGCACCGTCTCTAGCCGTTGGGTCAGCCCGGCTCTTGACCCCCGTCATGCATGAATAAAACATGCGACCCTGCTGTTGCGTAGCAGCCAGGTTGAGGCAGAAAGTAAAGCGGCGTGCCGTTTGTATGGGTGCATCCGGGCGTTCATATCTGCATGTGTACTTGTGCGAAAGAGATAGAGAAAAGAAAACCTCTCCGGCAGCAACCGAGCGCAGGTCCTCTCAGGGCGGAGTGGACGTAAAGGTCAGAGCGTCTGTCAGAGAACTGGTGGAGGTCGGCGGGGTGAGCAGACAGCGGCGGTCATCTCGCCGGCAGACACGGCACACACACGCACGCAGAGTCGAGCCGCTCATGGTACATTAATAAAGCATTCAAAACACTGTGATAATCACAGCAGCCTGACCCCACCACCTCACACGGGAGGAATATTGAGTGCTGGAAGTGGACGGAAAGTCTATAAACGTCCAAGTTCCTGGACTGTTTGACTGTGGTTTCTGTTTGAAGAACATTAGCAAAGGCTCCGTGGTATCGACTCAGAGCAACAGCCACAGGAATGTATTGTGTTTTATGTCCAGGAGAGTGTTTTTTAATCCCGTGGACTTCCTGTTATCAGTCCATGTTGCATATCTTGGATACATCTAGTATGGTCTTGTTGATCTTTATCTGCTGCGTTCGGCTCAGCAACAATAGTACACATTATATTCTCCTCCTAACGTACCCATGACTGTAAAAAACACCATGCTCTCAGATCCATTTTCTGATAGATGCAGGAAGAACTTTGTGACCTACCAGGGGGAAGATATTCTAAGAACATTCATTATCTCAAAAGAAATTATCCGCCTCCATGATTTATGCAAATCTCTGACCATGTATTCAAGGCTTAACTTCCTTTACGGCTATAAATAGAGTTTTACTTCACTCGCCACCGGGCCTAAAGATATTATTAATGGCGGAGAAAAAAAAAGGGGGAGATACTAAAGAGGAGGATCATCGGGAGACTGTGAAAGGAAACAGAAGAAATTCAGATCAAATAGAAACGTCTGCTGTCTTTGATAGTGATTCCCTCTGAGGCAAACCACACATCCTCCGTACGGCAGGGGGACCGTAATGACACGGGGGGGGGGTCTGTTTTTATACCAGCCGATAGAAAGGAGAAGATGACAAAGACTGTGTGTTTTTCAGTGGAAGATTGTGATAATTCTTGGTAGGTATGTCATCATAATCACTCATTTCATCTCATTATCCCATCTCTCCATCGTTACCTTCTTCTTCTTCTTCTTCTTCTTCTTCTTCTGTGTTGCTGCCACAGTGTTCAGGTAGGTACCACATGTACCAACATACCAAGCTAGTGTCGTGTCGCATGCGTTGTGTGCTGCATGTTGCACTGGAATGCAAACCGACCCAGATAAAAAAATATATATATATATAACATTATTGTTGTTGTACCTGACTGGTACTTTCTCTTGTTCTCAGAATATCAACCAGTTCGAGATTTTTGGAGACATGTCCACACCTCCTGACATCACCTCTCCATCGGTGAGTAGCTGTCCTGCACACGAGGGATGGGTCATGATTTTATAATATTTGAATAGTTTATGCGACTATTGTCTTGTCTTCAAAAGAATATATTTTACCGTCACAAGCGCTGGGAGACGGAGAAGTCTGCCTTTCAGGGTTTTCTGACAGATTTAGGCAACAAACCTACTTGGTTAGATTTAGTACAAGATTATTGTTTAGGTTGAAATAAACTCTGGCAGAACGCCGCGTAGGCAAACTTCTACCGTGTGCTGCGGCAGAGCCTCGTAAAACACACTTCATTCAAACTCGACAAAAACCAAATGAAGCTGACTAAAAACTGTCTGCTTTTCCTGATGAAAATGATGAACCAAAATAGAAAACATTTGCTAAAACCTAACGCACCTAATGAGTTCTACTCCTGTTCTTCTTCTGTGGTTTCTCCACATACTCTCTTATCGAATAGTTATTCTGCTCCAAACTCTCCTACATGCACAGTTTGTGTTCTACATCTTATAAAATCCAAACTGTATTTCCGATGATGATGATGATGATGATGATGTGTGTTTCTTCCTGAATCCCCAACCTGCACAGACCCCCGCCTCTCCAGCCAACATTCTCGACCCCTCGCTGGGCCTGCAGCCTCCCACGGAACTGTATGCTCCCTTCAATCCTGCGTCTGTGCCCTCAGGTAGGACCTTGTTCATTTTGAAGCTTAAATACACCCGCTGCTACAAGCGTAGGGGGAAAGAAACGCAGCGGGAGAGAGTGAGAGAAGAGAGAGAGAGAGAAAGAGAGAGAGAGAGAGGGTGTCGAGAAAGGAGATGAAGGGGGAGTTGGAGGTAGAGGAGACAGATGAGGAGAAGGAGGGAGGGTTTGAAATAAATAGAGGGGGACGGAATAGGATTGAAATGTAGATGAGGGGGGAAAGAGAAGAAACGGTGGTGTTGGTTGTGTGTTGAATATAAAATGCATCATTAGCTTGCGGCCTCAGATGCTGCTGATTTACCTGTGGCTGAGGCAACTGTGGTGGTCAGAGGGAAGTAATGAAACATGCTGAGATGATGGCAGCGAAGGCTCCTTGGTATGCACAGTGAATTAGACGTCGGTGTGTACTGGATCTCCTGCTTTACTCCCCTCCTCACCTCTCGTCTCCCCGGCTCTCTGCATGCGTCAGCGTGGGGACGGCGGCCGGGGTTAAATGTCAACTTCCTCCACCGTAGGTAACGACAGGAGAGCAGAGACGGGAGACGAGCGAGTGCGTGATAGAAAGAGCTCCTGCTGATGAGTTTGAGTGATTTTAATGAGCGCGTGTCGGGCTCTTCATAATGACTCTCTCTCATTCTGGAGGTAATTATAATAGTTCACCGTGACCATCAGGAGACACCGCATTAGCTGCAGGCAGAAGTAGGGCAGCACTCTCTGGGTTTGTGTGGATAATATGCATATGCACGGTGGGTATTTGAATCACTTTCTTCTCTAAGATTTTACGAAATACCAACATGTTCTATATGTTTCTGAACCCCAAACCTGCTGGCCTTGGTTGACAAGCACGTTTTCTTTAAACAATTGCCCAAAGTACACCATTTATCCAAGCCAGAAGCTGTAAAAAACATAAATATTGTCACATTTTTACCTTTCCGACGGTCCTTCATGTAACACACATCATGTACGATGAGCGCCTCCGGCAGAAAAAGCAACCGAAACAAAGCTTTAAATTGTGATATTATATCAAAAACATTTAACTACACGGCTCATTTAAAATCTCACGCTGAATGAACCTTTAACTTTAACCAGATCCTGTAAAAAACGTTAAATTCTGCGCTTCTCAGTCAAACTAGGAAGCGACGGTTGACTCAGCTGAGACCAACAGACACGTGACAAATATTCTGTGAAACTTCGACTGGACTGCAGGCTGCTGAACACGGAACAGAGAGGACAGGACAGATCTTAAGTAGATGTTGTAAAAATGTTGTAAAGATTTATAGAGCCTTCATTTTCTTTTCAACATTGGTGACACTTGTGGCAACTTGGAGAAATGTTTAATATACAGATTCCATTGTTTTTCTATTTTCTAAAATAAATTATCAAGAAAATTCAAATAGTTTTCTTCTTTATGATGATTTATGGCGTTGTAACTGTGTTGTACTGCACAAAAGACATTTCTTTCATTTCAGCTTTTAGCCATGATTGTTATGCTGATGATGCTGTTTCCATAGAGGTGCAGGACTTCTATATCGCAGTTAAGAACAAGGCCATGTAGAGAAAAAATGAGATGAAAAAGCTGCTTTGGGTTCAGAGGTTAACCTGAAACTGTTTACTCTCCACCAGGTTATGTGACGATGGGAGCCGTACCCCCCGGCCACTGGTCCCAGCAGGCGTTCGCCGCCCAGACGCCGCTGGCCTTCGGGGTCCAGTCTCCTCTTGGTCCGGGCGGCCAGCCTCTCATCTGGGGCCAGGCCAACATCTTCCCCGCCACGCAGCAGCAGTGGGCAGCCATGGCAGCCGGAGCCTTCCCCCCCACAGCCTACCTCCCCGCCCAACCCGTGGGGTTGCCTGCCATGTTCCAGGCCCTTGCCCCCGTCACGGCGATGACTCCGGGCAGCGAGAGCCACCCAGGCGCCGGAGCCGGCGCGTCGGCTGCCTCCCCCTCGGCGTCGTCGAGTCCGCAGCACGGGGCGAGGAAGATGGGCAAGGAGATGTTCAAGGTGGGGAGAGGTCTGATGAGACGTTTGGTCATGATGCAAGAGCAATATACCTGAAAGAGGGATGATTAAGAGTAACAGAGTGCTGCAGGAATGAGTCCTAAAACCCAGAAATGAGTCAGCATGTTTGCACTTCCCTCGTTTTATAGTCAGTGGGTTGTGTTGTTAGAAGCCTGAGATAAAGTCTGTGGTTAACACAAGCTTGAGAGATTTTAATGTTTTGTTCTACAACATAAAATGTGTCAGTCTCTTGTATTTAAAGGTTTTACGTATCTTAAAGAAGGCAGTGTCTAAATGAGATGAGGGAACCGGAGCGATGCTAACTTCTGGGTTGGTCTGCAGAAACACGTCGTCCCTGCAGCTCTATAAGTCTGATGGGAACAAATACAACACCACTTTTTGTAAACTCATCCGGGTTGTTGTTTGTGTCTCTGTTTGTTCCTATTTTGTGGCTTTCGGTACGTCCTGTCTTAATCATTTCATTACTGTTGACAATAAGGAATATTGTAAATAGATCGGCGACAGGGAACGAGGGGAGAGAGATGGGGAGCAATATAGGTCCCCGACCGGTCATGAACTAGAGGCATTAACTGAATGATCCCAGTCACTTCCACACAGTGAGGCACACAGCTTATGATTTAAACACTGATAAAGCCCAGATATCGTTTTTTGGGGGGAAAAGTCAAATCGGTCACTGCCCAGTTTTTACTGGCGAGCCTTCCTCACCAACTTCTGCCTCTTCTTCAGGATTTCCAGCTGGCAAAGCCTCCAGCCATGCCGGCGAAGAAGGGCGAGCAGCCCGGCTTATCGGGAACCTCCGAGGCATTCAGCAGTTACTTCAGCCGCGTGGGCACCGCGCAGGACACGGACGACTGTGACGACTTTGACATCTCTCAGATGAACCTGACACCGGTGACCTCCACGACGCCGTCCACCAACTCACGTGAGAGCTCCGTCCATTCACGTTGGCCTGCGCCCTTCTTTTGTCCGTCGCTCTCTGCGCTCTTTTTTGTCTGACTTGGCTTGTCTCTCCCCCCCCCACACCTTTTGCAGCTCCCACCCCGGCTCCTAGGCAGAGCTCCCCCTCCAAGTCCTCAGCCTCCCACGTCAGTGACCCCCCCACCGACGCCACAGACCCGCCCACAGACGACTCGTTCGGGGAGGCAGAAGGCAGCCCGAGCCGCAGTGGAGAGGAAGACGCTGTAAGTGTGTGTGTGTGTGTGTGTGTGTGTGTGTGTGTGTGTGAGAGGACGGTAGAAGAGGAGTAAGTCAAGTGTGTGTGTGCCTTTAATAACTCACTCCTTATGCTGCTATAACCTGCGCGGCGTGTTGAGATCTGCTGATAAATAGCCTTTGTAGCGGTGTTGGTGGGCCAGGTAATCACTCTGGCTGATTAGGGGGCCGATGCTGTTGTGTGTCCCTTAGTGTGTGTGTGTGTGTGTGTGTGTGTGTGAGTGTGTGTGAATGAATGTGCACATGAAGTGTGTGTTTCTGCGTGCCTGCATAAGTATGTGGTTTCGGCGTGTGCGTGGTCAACACCGCGTTAAATTAGCTGGCGCGATTGTCAGAGACATCATTAAGCTGTTATTAATACGAGCCAGGAAGCGTCCATACATCACCACTTCTACACGGACAGACGGGGGGAGGAAGAACGCCCCGACTCTTCTTCCTAGGGGGGGATTCATATTTATTTTAAGGAGCAGCACCTTGATCCAAGAGAGGGAAATGAAGGGAAGATGAGAAGATAAAGAGGTTTTTAGGGAGGGCCTAAAAACCTCCCTAAAAACCTACACTTTTTGCCTTCGACCAAAGGGTAGGAGGAGTGACCTTCCAGGAAACAAGCAGTTCTTTCCTCGACATGTTTTTCTCTTTCTCTCTTTTTGTGTTTCTTTCTTTCGCTCCCCCACTCTCCAGCCGTGAAACATTAGTTTTATGCCCCCAATCCAGCTATTATTGGAAAATAACAAAAAGAAATGTCTGAAAATGTCACCAGGCTCTGAATGACACACAGTTGCTTTTCACAACCAAGAGAACATGTTCATCGGTGACGGCGGCTGAGCGAAAAGGTTACAAAAGAAAGACGGGAAAGATGGAGCAAAGGCAGAAAAACATCCTCCCACTCTCTGCAAGGTGTGAAGAGCAGAAGTGGTTTTAACAAAAAAACAAGAAGAAGATAAATCAATAGAATGAAGGCTTTTATGATATACAACTGTGAGTGTGAGTGTGTGTGTGTGGGTTTCTCTTTTCAAAGTGTCCTTATTCCTCCTTCAGAGTATTGACACCTTTTACTTCCTGTTTACGTCCTCTCTTGTAGTCTCCACTGAGTCCTTCTTTCAGATGTATTCTTCTTCTGTCCCTTTTTTCCCCCTTCTCTTATTCTCCCCTCCATCAACTCCTCCTCCCACACTTTTCTCTTCCTTTCCTCCCCCCTTTCTCTTCCCCTCTCTAGGCGTGTGGTTCTGGGTCACCCTGCCCCAGCGAGACAGCAGAGCCCAGCCCAGACCAGGCCAGTCCAGAGGCTGGGAGCTAGATAGCAGCAGGGCAGGGTAGGTATCGATGCCTCTCCTCCTGCCCCCCCCAACTCCTCCTGCTGCACCCCCCCTGCCCTTATCTGTTCTTCTGGTTGACTGTTGTACCTCCCACTTACATTAATCAAGCTGATCGCTCTCCGTGTGCTGCATCTGTTCTTTTTTTTCATCTTTTCCTCCACTGTTGTTTTTGTCTGAGGGGTGAAAGTAGACCGGTACAGTCCGGTACCACTAAGAGACTGTCAAAACCCACATTCAACGACCCGTCGCAATCACAGTTCAGGAGGTTCTGTTTTCAGCAGGGGGCAACCTCGGGTTCTGCAGAGTGACGCAGATGAGGAAGTGTCTTAAACCTGCATTCTCTCTAGTGTCCACCAGGGGGCGACTCCTCTGGTTGTATAGAAGTCTATGAGAAAATGACTCTACTTCTCTCTTGATTTATTACCTCAGTAAACATTGTAAACATGAGTTTATGGTCTCAATCTCTAGTTTCAAGTCTTCTTCAATACAGCATGATGTTCATTTAGTACATTATGGTCCATTTAGAGTCAAACAGACCATAAAGCAGGGGATGCTTTAAGGCGGGGCTACACAGTGATTGACAGGTCTCTACCAGAGACATATACGCCGTCTCTACGTCACTCCTCCGGAATAATTGGAAAAATGAGTTCCCAAATGGAAAAATTCAAGTGAACAACAGCTACCGTGTTGTTAAAGCAATAAAATACAGAATGACACATCTTCTCTGTGGCGTCCAAGTTGTTTCTACATTACGACTTAAAAGTCATAAACACACCAAAGTCAGAACGGGTTTTTCATCTGTGCTTGCTGCATTTCCAGAACTGTTAAATTCGCCTGCTGCTGCAGCTGATTGTCTGATCTCAAGTGCAGTCTGTCGCACAAAATAGTAAAATATGTCGTGATGTTTCGTGAAGATCAGTTTTATTCCAACAACACAGACAGCAGGTCAAACAAACTGCCACATCTGTAACTCCGCTGGCAGAAACGGCTCAACTCCCGTCAACCAATTTAGAGGCAATTTTCTTCTAATTCAAAAAGAAAACAAGTTGTTATGATTTTGAAAGTTTCCTCACTTTTCTGTGGCACTTAAACCATTTAAATGAATAACTTTGCTGCACATGATGTCAAGTGTTTCTTGTTTATCACGCGATAACAAAAGGAAGCGACTACTTTCACCCCTCGTTCCTCCTTCACCTGATGTCTCGCATGCTCAAAGGAAGTGTGTGTGTGTTGGTTATTTGTGCCGTAGCCTCACCTGGAGTTTTGTAAGCATGTGGCATCAGTTCTTTTGAAACGGTGTGTGACGAGCTCATCGCGTGTGGTTCTTTGTGGTCCTCATCGTGTCCCGTCTGTGTGACGCGTGTCCTCCTGCTGTAAATCACGCCCTCGCTCCCTGAATAGCACACATCCCCACTCGGAGAGCCAATAGCGTGTGACAGCCAATCAGAAACTGTGCACTTCAGTGAACAGGACGTCACCTGGGATTTGCCGACGTGGTGTGTGTGCAATATGCTGATCTTGGATCTTTAGCTTGATGTAAGAAGATGATGTGTGCTGTCACTCTGTATGCTTTATGTGAGGTGCTGCGTGATGTCACGTAGCTCCTGACAATGTGTGGAGAGAGACCAGCAGCTGCTATGGAAACTCAGGGAGCTGATGACGTGTGCGTTTTTTAACACTTCATCCGACAGGAAGACTTTCACAGGACTTGTGGAGGCTGGACTTTTCTTTTAGAGACATGTGAGCATGCAGTTTGTCTACTCAAGGAGACAATGGGACACACGCCACAGAGGGGAGTCGAGGTCCAACGGATCTCAAAACGCACAGTTAGGATCGCAGCTTGGTTTTGAGCCACAGATCGGATCAGCAGAAAGAAAAAGGTTTAAGATTGGCGATCGTCGATTTTTCCTTATTGGCAGATACAAATCATGTTTGTTGTTGTTTTGTTTAGTTATAGCAGCTAGTAAACAAGGCTTCATTCTGTTCATTAACCAACGTCCCGAAAAAATCAATTCAACCGCCCTGAAGTCAGTGTAAACAGTTAAAAACTCTAAATGTCATCCTTTAACTTTGCTATAGTGGTCATCTGCATAAAGACACACAATTAAAGTGACATTAGTTTTAATGATATATTATAAACTACTTGGAGCGAGTGTTGAGAAGTGAATAGTTCATAGTTCCCTCTCTAATATCTATTTTATATTTCTGTAAAAACATTTACCTCAAACAACTGTTTCTCACCAAAAACCAAATTTTACAAGATGACATTTGAACACATCACAATTAACTTATAACTACTGAGTAGAGCTTGAACGCATCATGATGTAACTGAATGGAAGCTCCGTTCGTTAGCTGTTAGCTCCCATGCTGCTAACTTTAGTAGCTATCGGTCGATTAACAATCGTCAGGAAAACTTTATTAAAGTCTAACTAGAAGGGAGACATTGCGTCCCCACCTGGTGTCCTCTCAGCTCCCGAGTGTGGCTCCTTAATGATGGCTGCTGGAGAAATGTAATGGTTTTGTTTTCATCAGCTAATACCGCCGCGCCAAGATTAATGACTGCCCCGGCATAATTGGCATTAATTAAAGAAACCCAAGAGTCCTTCCCCACTTCAGGAGAGGAGGAGGACGAGGAGGAGAGGTGGCTGAGCATCCTCCTCCCCCCCTGTTGGCCTCCCTCCTCACACTCAGACGGGCTGAAGGCTGCGGGGCAGCAGGTGGATGTGGGCCTTAAGTGGGAGGACGGATTGTAGAGTCGGGGGGGGTTTGGCTGCAGACTGGCTGTTATGGCCAGAAGCAGCAAGTTGTCCCCCTCTGTAGTAGGTGGACTACTTTGGTCCCGGTCCAATGACGCTGCTCCCAGATGGTGTTTACTTGCTCAATCACATCGACTTCAGACAACTCCCCAAACACACACACACACCTGTGCAGAAGGCCCAGTTACTCCCCAGATAAGCACACCTGTGCTTGATACTGTCGCCACCTGTGCTCATATCGGAGCCAAAAATACCGCCCCCCCCCCCCCCCCCTCTCAGACGGACATGTGTTCAGGCGAGTGGGAGTGTAAGTGTTTTTAGTTGTTTTTTTTCTTCTGGGGTGATCTCATCATGTCCAGCGAACGCTCCCGAGTCTCAGCCGTGAAATGGCCTGCATCCACGGTTCACTGAGCAATCTCACATCGCCCCCCCCACTGCCCAGGGCCTACACACACACACACACACACACACACATCGATGTCCACATGTGTACCAGCCAGGCCAGATATTTCGGCCTTCAGGCGGCTGCTAGGCCAGCACATCGCTCACCTCCTCGGCTCTATGGAGCTGAAGCGGCGCTGGTTAGATGATGCAGGATGACACTGCGGGTTGTGTGTGTGTGCTGGCTGTCACTGCTTGTCTCAGCCTCTTCGTCACCTCTCTCAGGGCTGCTGGCAGCTACTTTCTGCTGACTGTCTGACCTCGACAGTTACAGCTCTGTAGCCTCAGTTCAGAGCATTCCTCCCAACTTTAACCCCACTCTGAGGCAGATGTGTGATTTGTGATTTTGGTGCAGTACAAAATATATTTAATTGAACTTTACTGTTCAGGTGAAGGCCAATGCAGATTGTTTAAGTCTTCTCTTTTCCCCACGAGAGATCTGCATTCTTGCTTCATTTGTGCAAGTTTAAACAGAATTGATTTTATCGTGTGTCTTTTGACCACTACGATAATAACGGGGCTCCACTGTGAGTGACTGCAGCCGACTCCATCATCCATCCAACAGACACGATGACTCACAACTGGTCTTTCAAGGCGTCTCTACCTCTGATGCATACTGGTCCTGGTGGGAGAGAATACTGCATGAAAACACACACACCAGAACAAGGTTTGGAGACGTGAGAGAGAGAGAGAGAGAGAGAGAGGTGAGTTAGTCCGCGAGGAGAGGGAAATGACTGGACGTCTCCTCTAAAGCAGTGCGATACTGCCACCTGGTGGTCGTGTCCGGTACGGGGGCTTCCGCAGATCTCAGACTTATTTGGGCTTGTAGGTGAAACCTTGCAGTTCAGCCGGTTGAATAGAATGAATCAGAGGCAGAAACTCGGATCCTCCCTTTTAGTCATGTGACATTTAAACAAATCCAACCGGGTTCATAAGAAAAGCTCATGTGTGTTTGTTTGTTTGTTTTGCACAGAAGGGGAAGGACCCTCTCTACGCCCAGATCAACAAAGGGAAGAAATGAAGAGACACACAGGAAGACCAGACCAGCACCGAGAGACCAGGAGGAGAACCCTCACCTGTGTGTGTGTGTGTGTGTGTGTGTGTGTGTGTGTGTGTGTGTGTGTGTGTGTGAGAGAGAGTGTGTGTTTGGCACATCTCCCTGCCTGGCCATGCCCTTCTTCTTCTCCTCCTCCTCCTTATCCTCATCATCCGGCTAACAACCTCCCAGGAGGAGCCTCATCGTTCTCCTCCTCCTCCTCCTGCTCCTGAGAGGAGAGAGCCCATTCTCTCCAGGCAGGAGGGATATCAATCACTGAGACGGATCCAGTTCTCCCTCCACTGCGCTGTCTCCTCCTCCTCCTCCTCCCTGTGGCGCCTCACACCCAGCCTTACACAGGACATAACCTGCTCCCTCCTTCCCTCTTCTTCCCTCTTTCCTCCCTCCCTCCGTCTGTGCCACCAAGGAGGGACTGAATCGAGCAGTGCCTCCCCATTTCCGACACACACACACACACACACACACACAGACCACGGGATTAGAAGGACCATCAACGGACCAGAACCTGTAGCAATGGATGGTCTCCCCCCCCCGCAGGAGGAGCTGGACTCTTTTAAACGAGCCTATCAGGGATGGCCGGGTACTGGGATTCGCTGCTTCTGATTGCGTTTTTTTTCCGGTCGGCCTCGGATGTTGTCTCCCCAAATTTCTTGTGAGTGTCTGCTGGATCACTATGCAGAAACAGACTCTCTGGGAGCTACTCACACACACACACACACACACAGTCATCTGTCACCCTCTCTCTCTAAACACACATACATGCAGTGATTTGCCAAAACGTCTCTCGTCGCGGACAGACGGACGGACTCACACGGAGGCCAGAGGACCCGGACATTAAGGAGTGAAAACGGACCCTGAGAGGGAGGTGTTTGCAAGTCAAAACAGATTCTGCGATCGAAACTGTTCATTCTCTATAGCTTTTGTACAATACCGATTTAAAAAAACAAAACAAAAAAAATAACAAAAAATTGAAAAATTGAATTTTTATTTTATAAGTCAATCAAGCCGCTGGGGTCAGCTCTATGGGAGAAATAGAGTCAACAAGGCTTTAAGGCATCTGATCGTTGGTTTGTCAATCTCATTTTGTAAATAATTATACCAAGCATTCTGTCCACTGGACTTCTGCGCCATAAAATAGGAAAGCTTCAGTTATGCAAACTCTTGACGTTAACCCAAGCAATACCAACATGTGTTTTCTTTTTTTCCTTTGTGTTGTTGGCCCCCCCCGTTTTTGTTTTTAAATCTTCGTGCACGGATGTTGTCGTCTTAACCTCGCCTACTAATCCTGATTCCAGCTGCACACCTTTTTTAATCCCCGCCCCCCCTGACGTTATCGTGTCCCTAAACAGATTCTTGAGTTACCGTAAAGCCTCACACCATCCCCAAATAGTTTCTGCACCATGAACATACAAGTCTCTATGTCGCGGTCTCACCCCCCCAAAGAGTAGTCTTTCAGACACAGCGATGCTCCACCCATCCGTCTGTCTGTTGGTCAGGTGACCTCTGCTACAACGACATCAGCTGTGATGCCATGGCTCCCTATTTTATGGCCAGAGGCCCCCCCCCCCCCCCCATGTCAACTTGACATTGTTTTCTTTGTTTTTTATTTTTTTGGACTATGATGTTGATTAACTTAAAAATCTGAGTAGAAGGTGAGGAAAGACGTTGACTTAAAAAGGGGAACGGTGGCTGTTTGAGTACGTAACATTTCTAGACCTATTTTAACTTTACCTCAGCTAACGGTTTCTTAATGTAAATTGACACATTATTTTTATCTTTATGAATATGACATTCTACAGTGGGGTTTCTAGATAATCTTTTGGTTCTCTCTTGATTTTACGTATTCCACCATGTATTACTGTTACAAATAAACACATCCCAAATGACTGATGTGTCTCTTAATG